CAGTTCATCTTCTGTACAAGAAGGAAGGGCAATTCACACTTTACAAGGTGAGAGGAGCTCCGATAGTGAGGAAAACCGGGGCATGACTGAACTTTTACACGTCCTTTTGACTATCACAGAATAAGCAAAACATTACTTTTTAGGGTTAAAAAAAACCAATACTAGTGTGAACTCAATCATCCAGAATAACATTTAGAAAGGATCTCACTACTTTCTGACTAGCTGACAAATAAAACCAAGCTATTCTTTTCTTCTTACATGTTAACTAGGCTGTATAAAGAACATTTATTCCTTCAAAAGAAAAAAATTTACTTCTGGTTGAAATTACAGTTTACAATATACAACACTATATGCTACGACCATAAAAGGTGAGAATATACACTGAATGCACAGGGCTGGCTAATTCTCTTTTCCTACCAAAAAGGTGTTTATGTTGATTCAAACTTCTCCACATTTACATTACAGGTTTACAAATGTACAATTGTACAATCAAAAGTATGTTTGACTACTAGGGTACATTATAGATACAGATTAGACATCAAAACTAGAAAATTTGAGTGTATGTTCTTAATTTATCTTTTTTTCCCTCCTCCATGACTGAGGATGGAACCAGAGCCTTCTACAGACTCTGTACCAGTGAACTACCTCCCCAGGCCACGCTGTGTATATCTTTACTGTCTTGGTTGGATTCACTTTCTTGTTACATAATAGTTAAAAGAAGTATCCTGCTTTTTTTTTTTTTGTCTTTTTTAAATTTCTGAGGCCCATCCAAACGTAGATCTATTAGGATTTGAGATCATGATACTTTGATTTACTTTTTTGGGAGGGATAAGATTTATTTTGTTGCCGTTTAAATTTTTAGTGGCATAGTTTTCTTGCTGGGTTTAATATTTATTTTCAAATGTGGTGATTTTATTTTGACTAAGTATGTTACTCTCAAGTTCTTGGCATACTTGAATGATGTCATAAATTATAGAATCATTTTTCTTTTGTCTCTTAGCAGTCTTTTTGACTTGGCAGTTTAATTCTGAACTTACACATAATTAAGTCTGATTTGCCCAGAGGGTGGAATCTGTCACTTGTACTGGCACATGGTATTTGAGGTCTACTGCAGCCTGTCTTGCCAGTGGCCCTTTGGGATACTTGACTCATGCATCAGATGGCTCTGACTAGACAGGATCCCAGGAGGTTCCCAAATCGGAGATAAGGAACCTAAACCCACCTTACCTGTGGAATAAGTTACAAGTTCCCAAGTCCTATCATGAAAAAAGAGTTTTAGGACAGGTCAGTAAGGGGCATGGAATGTAGGGGGTAGGGAGTGAGGAAGTGGGGGGATTGATTGATTGATTTTGATTGAGAGAGACCCAGACCTGTGGATAAGGTGGCCCACTCTCTAGAAGGGTTCTAGCCCATTTTACAGGTATGAGCCCTGTTTGTCTGTCTGTCTCTCTTCTCTTTTCTTTTCTTTCTTTCTCTCTCTCTCTCTTTCTTTCTTTCTTTCTTTCTTTCCTTCTTTCTTTCTTAGATGGATAATTTAAGCATTCTTTACATTCTTTCAGTCTATTCCTTTGTGTTAAGATCAGGTTCCTGCTCTTTACTTTCTCAGCTAAGCCACTTTATGGACCTCCAGGATCCTGAAGAATTTTGGGTGTGATGGGTCTGGAAGGAGCCTAAATTAACCAGGTGATGCTGAATCACCTCAAGTGACTTGAAAATTGCAATCTTTTTAAAAGTATAATTTTTTAGTTATGATTTTCCTTGACTCCTCCCCCTCTGCTCCCTGAGCTCTGTCTATGTGGATGGAATCTGTGCACGTCCTTGGAATGGCAGGGCCAGTTTCTTGAGTGGGGTGTTGTTTCTCCACAGCACGGTGCACAGGCCCACCACACTTGGAGCCCACTGCAGTGCAGGCCCGACACACCCACCGCCCTGTCCTCAGACTCGAGTTCCCACTTCCCTCCTCTTCCTTGAGCTTTGTGCAAGGAGACCTCCTCTGCTAATTGGAGGGCTTCAGGACTTGAAGTGGCAGTGTGTGAGTGAGGTAAGGAGTGCGCAGAGCAGTTTCAGCCCTGGAGCCTTTTCTTTTTATCCCGTTCCTTCCATTGTTTTTCAGTTTTCATTTTTTTACCCCCCGGTACTGAGGATCAAACTGAGTTTATGCTGTTTCTTCCAGGCACCTTTCTGAGGAAAAGATGGCCAACTCTACTAGCTTCATTGTTGTTCATTTGTAAAACTGGAGATTACGCATAACCTAGTTTTAGAAATATTTGTGCATGTTTACGAATTTATTTTGGCATAAATTCACAGTAGACCCAGTTGTTCCCCCTTTGAGAGTATTCTGTAGCCTGATTCACCCCAGAGCTTTTCCTTTGGAAAGGATGCTCTCAGAGAGCAGTTGGATTTGAGAGGTAGCAAGGTGGAGTTTACAACTTGGTTGACAAAAGAAGAGTTTTCAGTTTTACTGTGTTTCTTCTCCTGTGGCTGAAAACCCAGTTTGCTTAATAGGTGGAGGCACAAAGCTCATCTGTAATTCTTCCACCTGTGGCTAACTGGTGTTAATATTTTGCCTACTGTCTCTGAATTTACAGTAAGTGCATACATGTGACTGTCAATTTTCCAATGTGGATTCGTGCTATGGATATTATTCGGAAAGGCTACTTAGCAGCTTTCTCAGGGTTTGATATAAATTATTTAATCCTTGATTTTATCTCAGTTAACTCCCCCCCTTCCAAATTTAGGTCTCTTACAATTAGTTCTATGAAGAATACCTTGTATAGTGCCTTTGCTTACTATCATCATGTCTTCAGAATAAGTCTCTGAGTGGAATTATGGGGTGATTTCAGTCTGTCTCTGGAATGGTTTTGCCTCAGTACCTCTTAGGTGGTCAGCAGTCTCATTTTTGGTTTCCAGTGTAGTGCAGATAATATTATTCCTTGAGTACTACCCTATAGCAGGCTTTCTACTCAGCCTGTAACCCTCAAGGTGGTCGCGGGATCATGTTATAGAGACAAATTGCAGAGGCTCAGTAGTGGTTGCCTCCAGGCTCGGTGGCTATGAATTGCTGGGTGCAGTGCCGCACCTGGGCCCTTCCTACTTCCCAAAGTCGCCATGTGGAAGTGTGAAAGTAAAGTTGGTGGGGCTGTTTGAAGGGATTAGTTCATATTAGAAATGTTACTTGCCCTCCTCTAAAATTCCATCACAAGGAGTTTGATGTTCTCATTCTGAGAAACCATGTAGTGCTTGTGTTTGTTTGGTGTTAGAGAGCTGTGGTTTCACCAGAAGTCTATTAAGCCCATAGTGAGATTCTATTTGTACAGTAATGGAATTAGGTTTATGTTAGAACATTTTCCATACTCACAATAAATGATACTTTAGTGGAGAATATTAATTTAATAAGTATTTCCCTAATTCCTACTCTGATAGCGGGCTGTTGAGGATAACTTCTGGCTCTGCCTCTTAGAAGCTGGGTGGCCTTGGTAGCTTCTTAGCTTCCACCTCTAAATTGGAGATAATAGTGCCTACCTGGTAAACTGTTGTGAGAACTAAAATAGTGCAAAAAAAAAAAAAAAAAAAAAAACACTTAGAAACACTTAGCAGTGTGATTGATAAGTGTAAACAATTACTATTATTTTAGTTATTGGCATATATACCTGCCGTGAGAGAAATAGTGACCTAGCTGACTTCACGGAATCTACAGTCTATGGGTAGACTAATAGTAAACAGTTATAATGATTTGTGAAAAATGCCTTCAAGGAAGCCTGAAGGGCCAGTGGAAGGATCCAAAACATGTCCCAAACTGCCAGATTGTCAAGGAACCCTTGAAGGGTAAATGGGAGTTGACGAGATGGTGAATGGGAGTTTATGGGAGCTCAGTGAGTGATCAGGGGTTTTAGGAGTTTATAAGAAAAACTAAATCTTTATGAAGCCTTCCATAGTTCATTTGAAGTTTGGAGTTTATATAATTATTTACTACTATATTCCCAAATAGTTAAGATGTGTTTAAAACAAATACACCATAAAACTGGTGATAATAGAAAACCGTTACTGTTGTTTGATTTTTTTTTGTTTGTTTTTTGAGACAGGGTTTTGCTATGTAGTTCAGCTGGATGGCTTTGAACTTGCAGTGATCCTCATGCCTCAGCCTCCAGTGTGCTGGGAGTACATGTGTGCAGTAACATGCCCGGCTGTAGTTGTTTGATTATTGGAGTTTTCTTTTTGCAGCATGCTATTATTCAACAGACTTTTAGGTTTTCCTTTCAGTCTGGTATTTTCCTCCTGTAACAAGGTTGAAAATATATTTTAAAGTAATCTGATACAGAATTTTATTACAATGACTTAAGAGCATATAGGCATTATTTTTCAGTTCTCAGCCCTCTTTTGTATAGAATTTTGTCCCTTACTATGCTCTGTTTAAAAAGTTTTAAACTACTGGTATATAATCCAAAGGCGTTTCACTTACTGTCTTGAGACATTTTTCTAGATGAAACTGAGAAATTTAGTAACATAGCTTCTGTCAGTATTAATAATAGACCAGCTGCCAGGGGTGCTGGTGAATACCTGTAATCCGAACACTCTTGGAGGCTGAGGCAGGAGGATTGCAAGGTCAAACCTAGCCTAGGCAATCTAGTGACTTACCAAGTCCTGTCACAAAATAAAAACAAAAGGTTGAGATGTGGCTTAGTGTGAAGGTTTTGGATTCATTTTCCAGTACTGCAAACAAACAAAACAAAAACAGAACTAAAAAACAGGCCAGCTCAGTTTCTTTGTACCATTTGAAAATCATACTGGAAATAGTAACTTGTTTTTGAATTATTTCATGTGCTTCTCGACAGTGTCTTTTCTGTGAGCACCTGTAATCCCAGATAAAACTCTTAACGCTGAAAATTTACTTGTGCACACATAGTGATTATATTATCCTTTCTTGATCATTCAAATAAATGTGTGACTAGTGATAAAAATCTTTGTACCTTTTAAGAGACATTTTATTTTTTATTTTTAAGGCATTGCCATCAGAGAGTCAGCAAAAGTGGTTGACCAGGCCCAGAGGAGAGTGTTGAGGGGAGTTGATGACCTTGACTTTTTCATAGGAGATGAAGCCATCGACAAACCTACCTATGCTACAAAGGTAAGCTCTGCCAGGAGTGTGCCTGTGTACATGCAGAGGCAAGAATAGGGCAGCAGAATCCGCAGTACAAAATGGCAGGTTGTCTAGGAATTCTGCCTGTGAGCTATGGAAGGTGGTCTTACTCTCCTTGATTGGTTGAATGGGGTGGTTGCTTCTGAATGGGTGCATTTGTTAGTGGAGAACCAAGTGAGTTAACAAAGCCCTGGAATGCAGAATGGACTCAGGGAATATTGTCACACATGAATGCAGGAGCTCCTCTGGAAAATTGAAAGGTGACTCATGAACCTATCGGATACAGAAAATTGCAGATTGAATGATTAAGAGAAGCATCTTCACTGTTAGGTGGGTATTAGTTCTTAAAAGAGATCAACACCCCCACCAGATCATCATCCACATGTTGGATGAGCTGCCTTTGGGAAGGCGGTCCCTGGGCTTGGAGGTGGTAGAGTAGACTGTCCTCTGGAGTGTGACCTTGTCTGTCTATTCAGCACCTGCCTGGTTTCTTCACAGTAATTCACAGTGACGTCAGACAGAGGCTTGTGTTCTTGAGAAACACAGCATCCTCTGTGCCTATGCTGTTAAGCTCGTGTTCTTGCTGTTGCAAACCAAGGCTGGACAAGTTTCTGTTTCTTTTCCACAGTGGCCGATACGACATGGAATCATTGAAGACTGGGATCTTATGGAAAGATTCATGGAACAAGTGGTTTTTAAATATCTTCGAGCTGAGCCTGAGGATCATTATTTTTTAATGGTGAGTGACTGGAAGAATGTATCTCTGTAAATTCCAAACTGCTTACATTTTAAGCTCAAGATACTCTTTGCAAGGGAGTTTCTAATTCCTTCTGAAGGTGTTTGCATTAATGCAAATCAATCAACTGTTTTTTTGGAAATAACAGCTTAGTAAAAATGTCCTGAACTAAAAGGTTGATTAGGTCACAGAAAAAGAAGGCCAGGGTTAGGCAGTTCTAGGGCTTCTGGTATCAGCACCTGAAAGTAGTACCCTCCTTTAGCTTGATGTTGTCTCTTTGTTCCCCTTGGGCCTCAGGGTGGCTGCCTGAGTTTTTCTATCACCGCTTCTACTCAGCTGTAGAAGAGGTTTCCCTTGCACACCAGCTTTTAGTATATGTGCTGCCAAAGTGAGCACCCTTGCACACCAGCTTTTAAGCTGGAAACCCTTTCCTGGAAACCTGTGCCTTTGGCCCATCCTCTCATCCAGGCCTGGTCCCTTGTGAGAAGAATAGCTTGTTTTGCCTGATGTGGACTAAATAGGACTCTCTGCCTGGACTGAGGAGGAAGGTGTGATGTGGATGATCACTTGGACCCTGGGAGGAGGCAGAGGACCTAACGGGGCCTCCAACTTTGAGGAGCATAGAAGGAGGCATAATTTGGGGCAGGAAACCAACTTTGTACTTCAGTTTCCTTGAGAAATAGATGGACACTGTGATTATCACTACTTTGCATAGCAGAGGAAACCGAATTAAGGTGCCCTTTATCTCTAGGCTTTGACATGTTATTGCAAAATAAAACTCAGCTGAGTTTGGGTCCTAATTACAATACTTAATTGGTCTTATTCATACAGCGCATTACAGAGAATGAGAAGAAATATCTTGGTTCTGAGATCTTTCTAATTGTTCTCCTCAGCATTGTGTTTTCCTTCCTTGAAATGTTCAAGTTAAAATTAATTGTGTGTGTAAATGCTTGCTTTGTGAAGCAGTTTCATGTGACATAAGCTGTGTATTTTGTTAACTATAAGGTTAATAGTTACGGAAGTTCTTGAAAGTGCCCTGGTCTTTTCTTCCCTCATTGGTGCTGGGGAGTGAGCCCACAGCCTCACTCATGGGGGACGGGGGTGTGTCACAGCTGAAATTGTCATGTATGGCTACTGTGATTTACAGGCCACTCTGTGTATTTTCTCTCCTGTACATGTGCAGCGGTTTATATAAAATAAGTGGATCCAAGAACCGACAGTGTGTGAGTAGCTTTTTTGTTATGGCCAAATCAAATCACAGCTACTCACCTGTCAGATTTGGCACTTTTCCTTCTCTAGCATATCCCTAGCTACCTGTTGGATAGGATTTTAGGACCAGATACCTTGCCCACCTGCTTCTTTCTGTCTGCTTCAAGCTTACTGTGCCACAAGTTCTTTTCCCTATACTTATTCTAATCTTAGGGCTGTGGAGCAAATGCAGGGCATCAGGACATAGCCACAGGACATTTTTACTAAAAGAAAAAAATTTTTCTCATTTAGTTGGCATATATAAGCTAGTAGAATGTAATCACTTGCCAGGCAGGAGTTGGAGGTGTTTGGTGTGAACATAGAAAAGTCCCTTTGCTAAAAATAGGTAACTTCAGTGAATGTTCAAAACCAACCAAGTTTATTATTAAAATGGAAGAAAATACTGTATCATGCATATTGTGCTTTGAATTCTGTCAGTAAGATTGTTTTTGTGATGTGGTTGAGGAAGTGCCATGAATGGTAATTTCCTTCAGGTTTCTGTCCTTGCTCCTCACTTGATGGGATAATTAAAGGGCAGGGAAGAAGTGTGGAGATTGCAGTCAAGCCCTGCAAGTGGATTGAAGCCGTTTACTGAGTCAGGTTTTCAGATTGGGCAGTACGTGAGCGGCAGTGGGGTGGTTGAGATGGAAGCATTAGGAGAAGTGCACAGGAGGGAGGGTGAAGAAACAGTGTAGTTTCATGTGTGTTCAGGGTAACTGTGCTTCACAGGTAAAGAAGCTTACAAGGATCAGCTGCAGATGTTCATGTAGGATCAGTAGCTTTTACACTCTGATTTTTTTTTTTTTTTCTGGTACTGGGGATCGAACTTAGGACTGTGGGCTCAAGAAGCAGGCTCTGCCTCTGAGCTAAATCCTCAGCTCTACATGTTGATTATTGATTGAACAGTGATTACCAAAGTAAAATGTACCACCTTTGATATTTTAGAGGTGAATGTATAAATCCACCATTATCTTGAAATCTCTAGGTAATATAGCTCTGTGAAAGAACTGTTTTTGATGAGTGGTGAAATTAAAAACTGGTAACCATTTCTTACTATGCTGTGCCTGGGAATCACAACTGTGCTATGTCCTGACTTCCTGTAAAGAGTCCCCGTTCTGTGTTCTTTTTTATTTTTGGTACTGGGGATTGAACTGAGGACCCTGTGCTTACAAGGCAGGTGTGGTGCCACTGAGCTAAATCCCTGGCGACTTTTCTGTGTTTTAGAGTGTGGTTAGACCTACCTGGCCCAGTTTGGAGCCACTGGCCCTGGACTTGCTGAGTGAGCGCTGGAGCATGAGCCTTCTGCCTCCAGCATGTTGTCATCTTATTATCCTCTTCTTTCTTCCCAGAGCATTTACATTTTCAGAAATGTTTCTTTGCTACAGTAGAGGGACCTGAGGGTGGGATAGTATTAGGTACCTGTGTCCGATTTGCTCTTTATTGAGAAAAATGGATTTAAAAAAATTTTTTTTATGGATTGGTTTTTATGATAGTCATTAATTACTCTTTTTTTTTTTTTTGGTACCGGGGATCGAACTTGGGTCCTTGTGCTTGTGCAGCAGGCGGCGAAACCACTGAGCTAAATCCCCGGCCTAATTACTCATTTTTGAGTTGATGCCAGATGGTAATTTTACTATTACTATGCATATAAGTGTTTATATAACTTGCATTCATTCATGAGATAATCTTTTTCTATGTAGTTCATGCTGTCCTTGAACTTAATATGTAGCTCAGGCTGGGCTCCATCCTCCTGCTTCAGCCTCCTGTGTGTTGGGGATACAGGTGTCCACCCCCATGCCCCGCAGGACATTCTGATCATATGGTTCAGTGTTAACAAAGTAAGAAAAACTTGATATCCTCATTTGGATTCTGTTATAAATAATGGATTGGGAAAGCTTTACTTAAATTTGCCTCCTAATGGTACTGTGTCTGTGGTGGTAGGCATAGAAAAATGGACGAGTGAGGAAGAAAGGGGTTTATGATTGTGGCTCTCAAGACACATGAGGATATGCTGAATTAGAGTCAAGAACCAAGAGAACCTGATTATGTGGTAAACATTCCCTTGGACAGAAGAATATAGATTTTAATTTGTCAAAGGTGGTGAATTGTATTTGGCAGAAAGTAAAAGAGGTACTATTAAAAAATAGTAGTTTAGTTGGACATATCTGTTATAATAAAGAAAATATAAACAGAAGGGAATTTTGTTACTTATATACATTAACTACATTATATATTTTATTTGCAGCACAACACAATTCCTCTTCTGCTGGGCATGGTGGTGCATGCCTGTATCCCAGCACTTGGGAGGCTGAGGCGGGCAGATCACTGTGAATTTGAGGCCAGCCTGGGTTACATAGTGAGTTCAAGGCCAGCCTGAATTACAGAGTGAGACCATCTCTACAAAAAACAAAACAAAACAAAAAAAAAGGAAATGTAAGAAGATATCTCTGGAGTTTTCACAGTTGTAGGATCATATTAATTGTAGTTATTGTTCACGTTAGCATATTTTCATTAATCTTTTCATCCATGTTTTCATATGATTTTACATACAATACTGTATTTTCTTACCGTTTTTATAACCATCATTTTAACAGCTTTATAATAATCTATCCAGAAGATATTTCTGCTCTGTATGGCAGTTTCTCAAGACATCGACTTCTGCTTCCAGTTTTTTGGTATTAAAAGAGTGTAACATAATCTCTGTGCATATAATTTTTTCTATATTTAGAACTTTTTTTTAAATTTAGAAAGAGCTGCCAGTGTTAAATTACTGGTTCCAGGTGTACTAATATTCTCATGAGTCTGTGTTTCATGCAGCATTTCACACTGCCATCAGTAATGTAAAATAAGCCCACTTTATTTGTGCTTTTGCCAGTGGTAATATAATTTTGAGTATTTAATGGATTGAAATTTTACCTGAATTTGGTTGTTTTTTTTTTTTTTTTTGGTGCTGGGGATTGAACTCAGGATCTTTCGTTTGCGAGGCAGGTGCACTGCCACTGAACTAAATCCCTGGTCCAAACCTTCAGTTTTTAAATTTTTGGACCGTATTTTCCACATTTGTTTATTATGCTTTTACCTGTTTTTGTGAATTGCTCTTTCAATTTATTAGTGTTTTATTGCCTTTGTTATTACTATGATTTTTGTGAACATTTTGTTTGTTTTAATGCAAAGTCTTGGACTATAGCTCAGACTGGCCATGTAACCCAGGCTGGTGTTAAACTTGAGATTCTTCTGCCTCAGCATTTTTTTTTTTTTTTTGGTACCAGGGATTGAACTCTGGATTTTTTTTTTTTTTTTTTGGTACCAGGGATTGAACTCTGGACCTTGTGCTTCAGCTTTCTGAGTACTGGGGTTGTAGGTATGGGCCACAATACCAATTCTGAACATTTTTTTTTTTTTTTCGATACTGGGGATCGAACTTGGGTCCTTGCGCTTGTGCAGCAGGCGAAACCACTGAGCTGTATCCCCGGCCCTGAATTTTTTTTGTTTTAATGAACATTTTTTTACATAAAATTTCTTAGGGGCTGGGGATGTAGCTCAGTGGTAGAGTACTTGCCTAGTATTCACAAGGTATACCTAGTACTGCCTCAAAAAATAAAAAAGTTTATTGTGGTAAAACATATACCATAAGTGTTACCACTTTTGAATATATACTTTGATGGCATCAAGTATAATTATCACCTCCATCTAATATATTCCCACAGTGCAGCCAAACAACTTCTTATACCCCTGGCCCAGGTAGGTCCTAGCAACCACTCTTGTATTTTCTCTTTGTCTGATGAATTTGATGACCCTAGGAACCTCCCGTATTTGTCCTTTGGGACTAGCTGATTTCGTTTAGCAGGATGTCTTCAAGGGTCATCTGCATTGCGGTATGTTAGACTTCCCTTCCTTTTCCAGACTGAATACTACTCCATTGTGTGTAGATACTACATTTAGTTTATTCATTGAAGTCTTTCAAATGACTAGGATAGGAAACTTTTTTTGTATTTGCAGCAGATTTTTTTTTTCTCAATAATTTTTGGCTTTTCCTTTTGGTTCTTTTGTTTGGACATTATACATTTTTGTGTAGTGAAACCTGTTATCTTCTGACAGTTGTATTTAGTCTTCATCCATCTAGGATTTGTTTGTGTTGTTATTTGACCCTGAACTAAACTCAAGAGTGCCAGGAGCCAGGTGACTCTGATTCTGCTCCAGTGTCTTCGTTTAAGTCTCGCTTTTTGCTTCAGATCAGATAGACAGCATTTGGCTGGCGGCAAGAAATATTTCCAGACTGCACTTAGCACTTCTCATTCCTTTCTAACCCTTCTTGGTACTCAGTTTAAATGCTTTGTGTAAGAAATCAACGTATCATTTTGATGCTTGGATTCCTGTTTAAGGTGAGAAACAACATTATGAATTTTTTTAGTTAACGTATGCTATTTTGGTATGAAATAAGTTGCTGGCAGGTAGAGCTGGTATTTATTGAGTATTTCCTGTGTGCTCAGCCCTCTTCTCCCTGTATGTGTATTTACAAGTATTGAGTGGTTTATTTAATCCCACCAACAGTCTTCTCAGGTAGGTAATGTTATTAGGTCCACTCCTCAGTCTGATGGGTGGTACCTTAAGAGGTGCATGGTGGTGAGTCCTGTTGTTGTCCAAGACAGTCTCTCTCTTCTGTAACTTGCTCCTGTTGGGTAGGACCAAGCTTTTAAGACCCATATTCGATTTCTTTAATTGGTCACTGTAGGTGTAATGTGTCTGTAAAATTAGGGAGTTGTATCATATGCTAGCTCACATGCTTTTAGGTTAGCCTTTTTATAATTCTGATATAATTTCATGAAATTTGGGTGAACGCTAAATATAATGAATGTTTTTTTACAGACAGAGCCTCCCCTGAATACACCAGAAAATAGAGAATATCTTGCAGAAATTATGTTTGAATCATTTAATGTGCCAGGACTCTACATTGCAGTTCAGGTAAAAACAAAGTTATTTTTGTGATTCACACATCACAGTCTCTGGCAGTGGAAGAAATGGTAATTCCAAAGGTCCTCTGTTGTAAGACTGAAGGCTGTGCTGTGTGTTCTTCCCTTTTCACTCCTTTCGCACACATGCATGCACACCCACCACTGAGGTTTGAACTAAAACACTGTGGAGAAGGTGTTCCATGACCTGATCCTCCTGCGTCAGCCTTCAGAGCGCTGGGATTAGAGGTGTGCACTACCATGCCCCGCTCTCCCTGGCTTTCACAATTATGTCATTGTTACAGACTCTGGCTCTTGTTCCATGCAAAGTCTAGTGTATTTTTTGAGGGTGCCAAGAAGGAAGTGTAGGTGTGGTTTTCTTTTTGGCTTCTTTCACTTTTTCTTTTTTTGAGATGAGATATAGGTATGTTGCCCAGGCTGGTCTTGAACTTGTGATCCTCCTGCTTCTGCTTCTCCAGTAACTGGGATTCCAAGTGTCTGTCATCAATCACAGATCTTTCACTTACTTCTGATCAGAAAAAAAGAGATAAATAGAACCTGTTGAAAAAGAGTGAATCCTGTTGGAGGGCTCTTTATTTATGTGGGCTCCTGTGAGTCTCTGTACTCTCTGGCTTTGAAGAGACTAAATTTCTAGGCACTCGCAGAACTCCTTTGAAACTTTTGTTGTTGGAATGAGGTTGTGTTTTTATTGCTTTGGGTAGTTACATGTTTGTCACCTTATACAGAGGAATTGCCTCCAGTTTGGGGAAATCGATGAGATAGGTGTGTCACAGTATTTTCTGCCTGATATTAGTCTCTTCCAAGAAAAAGGAGGAGGAATTCCACATAAAAATGAATTTAGAGCCATATGTAATGGTGCCTGTCTGTAATCCTAGCTATTCAGGAGGCTGAGGCACGAAGATCGAAAGTTTGAGGCCAACCTGGTCATTTTAGGGAGATCCCTTCCCAGAATAAAACAGGCTGGAGATGTAGCTCAGTACTAGGCCCTGGGCTCAGTCTCTAGAAATACAACTCCATTTCCCCCTAAGAAAAGGAGAAAGAAGAAAAGGTTTGCTGTTGCTTCCTTGAGGTGACTTACACGCCTATAACATAGTGAAGGCTCTGAGAATCCCTGTGTTGAAATCTATTCTAGTGCTTCCAGATTTACTTAACCATCCATCTTCCTCCCCCAAGTTAGTTTTTGTTGTATGGAATAAGGAAATACTTTATGGCCTATTGGGCTGATGGCTCTCAAAGTATTCTATGCATCGCGTTTACCTGGAGAATGGTTTTTTTTTTTTTTGAGGCAAGGTCTGTCTATGTAGTTATGTAGCTCAGGCTGGTCTTTAACTCATTATGTAGCCTACCTGGCCTCCAACTCACAGCAATCCTCCTGCCTCAGCCTCTTGAGTGCTGGGACTATAGGCATGCGCCACCATACCCAACTTGTTCGTTCGTTCCTTCTTTGTTTGTTTGTTTCTGCCAGTACCGGGGATTGAACTCAAGACCTTCTCCTTGCAAGGTAGGCGTGGTGCCACTGAGCTAAATCCCTAGCCCCAGCTTGTTTTTTCTTAAAGTGCAGATTCTTAGTGTTTTCCTACCTCTGTGCTTTGGGTTGGACACTTTCTTGTGGGGGCGTCCTTATGTTGCAGGGTGCTTAGTAGCAAATCTGGCCTCTGCCCACTGGACCACCACCAGCCTCCTCTCTGCTCACAGATGTGATTGTGAAAAGTGGCACCAGATGTTGCCAGATGTTCCCTGGCCAGCAAAACTGCCCCTGGTTGGGGACTAGGGTTGAGAACCACTGTTCTAGACCTGTCAGGTTAGAGTTGTGGGCGGGAGGCCCAATTGTGTGCAAAACTCTGTAAGGGATTTTACTGTAGCCAGGCTGTGGCTCCAGACAGAATCAGAGAAAAAGAGATTAAAAAAAAAGTTTTTCACTGGCTTTTCTTTGTAAAACTTTAGATTTCTTTTTTTAAAATTGACAGTCCGACTTCTGGAGTATAAGTACATGAACTTTGCATGTTTACTGTCCATGTTGGAATTGAAATTTTGAAGTGAGACGGAGGACCAGGCAGGCAGCGGCTGCAGAGAGCCTTCCCTGTACGCTGGTGTCCCTGTCTCCTCCCCAGGCAGTGCTGGCGCTCGCAGCCTCCTGGACCTCCCGACAGGTTGGCGAGCGCACGCTCACAGGGATCGTCATTGACAGCGGAGATGGAGTCACCCACGTCATCCCAGTGGTAAGCCCGCTAGTTCATGTCTCACTCTCTGAGACTTCACACCTGCTTTGAGGCAAGGGAGAAAAAAGAAACCCCAACACCTTTTATAATTAAAAATACCATTTATTGTATAATAGGTAATGTGAAATAGGAAGAAAAGGGGCAAAGGGGAAGGAAGTGGGAGGGCTAGGGGAAAGGATAGAAGGGAATGGGATTAATATGAGAAAATGGAAAAATAGGAACAAAATCTTTGTAAATAGGGAGGACTGGAGGGGTTGAAGGGAGGGCTGGGCAAGGGTGAAAAATAAGAACCAAGAGAGGTTATGTAAAGGTGCAAATTTCCAATGATGAATGTCATTATATTGTATACCTAAAATGTACCAATGATTAGAATGAATAATCGATAATGTAAAATAGGAAGAAAAGGTCCAAAGGGGTAGGGTTAGTGGGAGGGGCAGGGGAACGGAAAGAAGGGAAAGGAAAAAATGCTGAGAAATGGAAAAAATGGAAATAAAGTCTTTGTAAATAGGGAAGGGTGGAGGGCGTGAAGGGAGGGCTAGGAATGGGGAAAAAATAAGAACCAAGATGCATTATGTAAAGGTACAATTCCCAATGAGAAATGTAATTGTGTTGTATGCCTACAATGTACCAATAAAAGAATTTAATACAAAAAAAAATAAATAAAAATACCATTTAAAAAGTAATATTTAGTAAAGATAACAGGATTTTTAAAGACCCAGGAGTCTTAGTTACTTTTCTCATTGCTGAGGCAAAATACCCAACATCCAAAGTTAAAGGAGGAAAGGTTTATTTTGGCTCACAGTTTGTAGAGGTTTCAGTCCAAAGCAATTCCGAAGCGGGGCAGCACGGCAGGGGGACATCACAGAGGAGAAACAATCCATGGCATGGCAAGCAGAAGGCATCAAGCAGGAGCAAGCAGCAGTAGCAAGGTTGCCTTCTTTCTGTCCCTTTTTATTCTATCCATGCAGTAAGTCTGTTGATTGGTGTCACCCACACTAAAGGTGGGGCTTTTATCATCCACATCATTAGTCCCAGTGTCACACACCCTAGATCAGCCACCTTTGAAAAGAAGGCCCACCTCTGAGTGCATGAGGCTTTGGTGGATATCTGGATACAAGCCATAACACCAGATGTGTGATAAAGAGTGTAGGAGATGGCCAGTATTTGGGCAGTTTTAAAATTATGACAGCAGATTTCTGCAGTCATCAGGTCAGTGGTTGCTTGGGATTTCCTGGGCTTCTGCTTGATTTCTAGTGGGTGTAGCCTCAACCCCACGCATGTTTCCTGGTTTATAATTCTGAGCTGTGGGGGAGCTGTAGGTGTGGTGCATGCCCATTTGATGTCTCTGTAGAAAGGGAGTGGCTAGTCTGCTCATGCTGTAGAGGACCTGCTTCTTGATTTTCAGTTTTAAAGTTAAGGAGAGAGAGTGCATTTTGACTTTCAGAAGGCTCTTTAATACCACTTTCTGGTTTTATTTTTTTAAATATTAGAGAAGTGACTCCTGGGGGCAGAGATTTAGCTTAGTGGTGCTGTGCCTGCCTCGCAAGCACAAGGTCCTGAATTTGATTCCTGGTACTGAGGAAAAAAAAAAAAATGGAGAAGTGACTCCTAATTCAGATTTTAGGAGACCTTTGTAGGTCCAGTGGATGTGGTCCAATGGATTGTAGATGAATTATTCAAAATTTATTTTTTTGAAACTCAGTCGGAATCCCGTGTGAGGGTAGACTCAGATTTCTGATCATTACCCTTGGTCTCCTCCTCAGTAAGGATGATCACTAGTTAGTTATGTATTTTACAAGGGTGTTTTTAGCACGTTCTGTGTATTATCTCCGTTTAAAAATGCAAATTAGGGTTAAAATACCCATTTGTGTTAATTGAAAAGGGAGTCACTATTTCATTTCAGGAATTTGAAGGAAAGCTTTCCTAATTTCATAATGCTTTGATTAATGCCTTTGAGGTCAAAATCCCTGTAATGGAAAGGTTTACAGGCATGTCCAGTCTGGGCCTGTGGGTTGGACATACCTGTGTTATAATAGAAACATAAAAAAGAGAAATTTTGTTATACATTAACTATATCCTGTAGTTTTTGTGTGGCCCGAGACACCTCTTCAAATTCAGTGCAGCCGGGGCAGGACAGGTGTGTCCCTGCAAGCACAGTTTGGACTGGCTTGGATGGTGACTTGCCAGATGGTGACTTTGGGGCAGTTAGGAGGGAAAGAGCCACACCCCCTCGCCTCCACAGCCCACTGGTAGGGAGGAGTAGAAGCCTCTCCCTGTACAGGTAGCTCCACCCCAGCCCCCAAAGCCATCTCAAAACAGGCTTGTTTGTGGATTATTGGGAAGTGTTAATGCTGTAACTTAGGGACATCCAGGCCTCTGGCTTTGTCTGATGAAGGACCTTCAAAGCAGAGTACAGACTGAGATCTGGGGTGTATTGTTGTGGGCCCCCTGGCCTGTTTCCTTTTGGTTTTTTCTGACATAGGAAAAGAAAAGAACACATTTTACTTGGCATCCAGGCCCACAGAGAAGATTGTCCTTCAAATTGCTTACTGTGTATTAGTCCAGTTTCTTACTTCAATTAGAAAATTTGCTATTGAAAATATGAATAAAAAAGTATAAAGAAGAAAATGAAGTGATCTATAAATCTACCCAGAAAACTACAATATACTTTTATTTATTCTTTTTTTTTCCCCCCCGGAACCCGGGATTGAACTCAGGATCTCACGCTTGCCAGGCAGGTGCTGGCACCACTGACCTAAACCTCCGGCCCTACTTTTATTTATTCTTTTGGCAATACTGGGAGTTGAATCCAGTACTTTTGCCCTGAGCTATATTCCCAGCCCTTTTTACTTTTTATTTCAGCCAGGGACTAAGTTGCCCAGGGTGGGCTTGAACTTGTATTCCTCTTCTCAGCCTCCCAGAGGGCTGGAATTACAGGTGTGTACCACCACACCTGGCTCCACAATATACTTTTAGTAATGTGCCCTTCCAAGCCTTCTCTTATATATGACATGCGCGCGCGCGTGCACACACACACACGTCTACACATTTTTTAAGCACAATTAGACATATTCTCTGGGTTTGTGTTCTAATTATATAATCCTAAAGTTATAGTTTTCATACTAATTTAACCATATTTTTTCCCCTACAGTCAAATAATCTGTGAAAAAATATTTAACAGCTATGTAACAGCCTGTCATGTGGTCATAGAATGATGTTGTTGGATATGTAGCTTATTTTAATGTTTTTAGTGCTGTGATGAAGCTGATACTTGTTCAACGTGGATTAAATTAATTTTAGAAAGTGTTATGTGTGATGCATAGAATATAGTTACGAACAGATTATATATTAGGAAGCTTAACATTTTATGGGCTCAGGTTGATGTTTATGTATCTTTCATCTTTCATCTTTAAATACTTTACTAATACTTAGACTCTGCAGAAAGGTAAATCTTTTGCCTCTAGAAGTTAGGTACTTCAGGAAAGAAAGAGCCCAGGGCCTCAGAGGGCTGTCCTGGTGGTGTTACTAGTGACAGTGCCATCCAGCGTATGTGCAGCGTGGAGTTGCATGTCACTTGTGTGTCTGTTTCCCTCAGGTGTGACCGCTCAGAGGCTGTGAAGTGTTGCACCCGAGGGAGCCTGGGTCTGATGGTGCTGTGGAAGAACATTGTCCCCAGCCATCAGTGCCCCTTACCCAGACATTCTGCAGAGTCCCAGCTCCTGAGCCAAGCTTCAGCTCATGCAGTGCACTGCTTACTGTATGAAGCAGAGTCTTTCTCATTATGATAAATTGAACTATTTTTCGAGTATTTGTTGAGTGGCACACACTATGAAATAATGCTGTGTGGTTGGCACACAGAAGTTTGTTTACTCCTTATTGGAAATACTGTTGGGTGTTACTTGCCCTGTACTCTGGGTGAGGGTGCCAAGGTTGAAGCTGTTCACCTTGTCCGGGAACACTCAGCCAGCAGACCTGGAGCAGGACCACATCGCTGGCTTTTATATTTGAGTAGTTTTATAGTTGGTTAAGCAATTTATAAAGCCTTTTCTATTTGTTAGAGAAAAGAAAGCTTGTATTTACTGTTCTTACAGATGGCATTACCTTTTGGAAATGAACCACCCTATGCTATGAGGTCTTCCCCTGTATTTCTAATGAGAATGCTGTTTCGGTTTTTGATGGAGAGTCTCAGTCTATTGGGATAATTTTAAGTATTAGTGTAACTGTGTGTGCACTCATTGACACAGACCCCAGCTTTGAGCTTGCTCACATTGGTACTCTGTACATGTAGGGACAGGTGGGGGATGAGGCAGGACACTCCTGGTCTGGTGGGCCTGCACTGTGGGATCACTCACCTGCTGTTTTGCCTCCTTTCTTCCCCAGGCAGAAGGTTATGTAATTGGAAGCTGCATCAAACACATCCCGATTGCAGGTAGAGATATTACGTATTTCATTCAACAGCTCCTAAGGGAGAGGGAGGTGGGAATCCCTCCTGAGCAGTCACTGGAGACCGCAAAAGCCATTAAGGTAAAAACAGATTGGAAACTGGCCGGTTTGGGGGTGAGAGAGAAGTGGTGTCTGAGCTTCCCCGGGTGCATTTTCCCTGCCCCTGCCTGCCGTCCTCTCCTCTCCCAAGAGTGTGGACCTGACCTGTTCACCAGTGAGTTCAGTAAGCTGAGGACCTGAGGCTCAGCCTCCCCTCAGCACTCTTGAGGCTCTGGCTGTGAACGAGAGTAGCTTGATAACCGTGTTGAGCCACCAGCCTGTGACATACAGAGGGGCTTAACGGGTGCCTAATTAACAAAACCTTTGATTAGCTGACATCGCTTCCCTGTCTTCTGCGGTGGCTCAGGCTGAGGAGGCACACAGGTCACAGCAGCCACGGAACTGGTGGGCTCTGCTGGAGTCTGCACAAGTCCGTGTCCTGAGAATTCACTTCACAACAGCACCCTTCCAGCATCCAGAATCACTAACCAAAGTTCATTTGTGCCAGGGAGGCTGCCGGAAGCTTTATAATTCAGCTAGTAAGATTAGAAGAAAAGTGGCACCTTGGTCCTTATTTAGAATGTCTGTTTGACCTGATGCTTTAGTTTGTATTTCTCTGTACGTGACTTGTCATGTATCTTTTTAAAGGAATTTTTCAAACTTTTAGAAAAGATCAGTTTGGAAGGAATGGCTGGTAATCCAAAGCTAATGATTATATAGACAGAGAGGGGAGGATTTTGTGTGCCTTTATAGGAGAATTTCCATGTGGGCTGTGGCATGTAGACTTGGGCATTTCCTTTTCCATCTGAGTTAGTGTTTGAGCTGTAGAGGAGTCGGGGGGGGGGTCTTGTACCCCCTTTCCACTGCTCCCCTCCCATCTGAGCAGCTGTAACCAAGATGGGGTGAACGAAAGGTGACCTTAAGATAGTCTCTAAGTTTTGATTGACACTGGGTGAAGATAGAGGTATCTCTAGGAAGGAGGTTAAAGATAGGGAGGCTTCTGTCTGGCTTCCTTGGAATGGGAGTTTGCAAGGGTGGGAACTCTTAGCACTAAACCGGTGAAGTCCTGGGCAAATAGGAGTTAGTCCCTTCCCTCGGTGCAGGAAGTCACAAGGAGTCACAAGATTTTCTTTTTAGACTAAAATATTCCCAAGTGTTCTCTTTCCTTCTTTCTTTGCCTTTCTTCGATGGAAGTACAATTTGGCTATTTGATTCAACCACCCTTCCCTCTAATCGGTTACAAATATGAATCAGAGCTGAACTCCTGCTGGTGATGCTCAGGTCACCCTGGGAATCTGAGTCAAAATCCCGAGCTGGGTACCACCATGAGGTGGCTTTCCTGAGCCTCCTGCTGGGCTTTTGCTTTCACTCTCTGGCTTTCTGGGCCCAGTGCTGACCCTGGAATCTGAGCAGGGACACTTAGGTTTGACTGTATGTGGCAGCCTAGGAACGTCAGGAGCAAGAGTCCTGTAGTCTCCCCTTTAGCTGCCCTGCCCTGCCCTGCCAAATGGGTTCCCTGCTAGTTTCCCCTCACCTGTCCTTGTGAAAGAAGAGGGCCCGGCGGAGTGGTCACAGTTGTACTGCCTTATGTTACAGACCAAACCCTTCTGTGGGCACCAACAGGCCTAAGGTATATGTGTGGCAGGAACACACCATCCTTGCAGCATGAACCCAGAACCTCTGATTCATAATGCTGCTCTGTACCCAGTTTTATGGCAGCGTTTCACACCACTGTTCAGACAGTGGAGCTGCCAGAGGGCGTTGCCCAGGCCTCCAAGCACAGTTGCCTGATTGTCTTCAGTCTTGTTAACTTCAGGTTGCAGTGATTGACCTCTGTCTCTCTGTCATCACGGAGCTCAGGGCTGCTTAACAGTTTTCACCCTGCAGTCTTACAGTTCTAATAGAATGTATCAAAGCTATCCAGAAGGTGGCTTTACCATAGGTTTCAGAAACTTTAAAGTTAATGTCAAGAAAACACCTGTGAGATTCTTGAGAGCCATTCCTTCTAAAATGCATAATTGCCACCCACTGGGTGGTGGTGCTGAAGGTTTGTAGCAGGCTTGCCTGGTTCTTGCTCATAGCACTCTTGCTTTCAGAAGCCAGTACCCAGGTGTCCCCTGCAGCTGTACTGAGTTAGCTCAGCAGACAGGTGACCAGCGCAGAGATCCCAAGGACATCAGGGTTACCCGATACTCAGGGTGCACTTTGCACATCTCTGGCTGGTTCTGGATGTCAGGGTGGAAACCATTTGCAAAGTCTCTCCTGGCAGTCACATCCAAGTGACTCTAATCCCACTGCCTGACTTGCTTTTCCTTTGTTCTATGGCACTGTCACTTTACAGCATGCCCTGCTGTTCACTTGTCATTGCAGGTGTCTGTTGTCCCACTGTCAGAGTATCATCTGACAGGGATCTGGGTCTTCATTCACTTGTGCATCCTTGTGTCAGTCGAGTGACAGAATACCTGTCACCAAGTCCACTCCCAGCACAGAGGAAGTAGAGAAGTCTATTCCAGGCACATGCAGCCAGGTATCAGGCTGTGGACATGTAGCACACTCAGTCGATTAGTGGGTGTGACCTGCTGGTCCACAGGCAGATGACAGTACACCTGGCAGGGAGCCTGAGGGAATACCAGACAAGATTCGAATACTGTCTTATAAGCACCTTTAGACATTGTTTCAGACAGTGTGGTAACAAGAATTGAGATTAATAGCCAAGCTGCAGAGAAAGCAGGCTCACCTGTCCAGCGCCTCAGTGTTGTCATGTCTCAGGTGGAAGTTGGTGGAATAGGGCATGATCCACACCCACACATTCATCTGGTTGTGTGGACAGATCTGATTTTGGGGTGTGTCTAATGCATGGTGTGTGTGTGTGTGTGTGTGTGTGTGTGTGTGTGTGTGTCAGAGGGCAGAGGTGCCAGGTAGCTGTTAATGCCTGGTGACATCTTTGTGTGCACATGCAGGAGAAATACTGTTACATTTGCCCAGATATTGTCAAGGAGTTTGCTAAGTATGATGTGGACCCGCAGAAGTGGATCAAACAGTACACAGGCATCAACATGATCAACCAGAAGAAGTTCATTATAGATGTTGGATACGAAAGGTTCCTGGGACCTGAAATATTCTTTCACCCAGAGGTAAGATGTTTCTCCAGAGGGTGTGGATGTGTGGTGTGTATGAAGCAATGCTGCCACCCAGTGTGCATAAGCGGACACCCAGCATCTCATTCACATGATTTCCCTGTATCTTGGCTGAGTTTTTCATAGTATTAATATTCACAAGTGATGTATTTATGTGTTTCTTGCTTCATGTCATGTAGCTCATGACATACTTTTTCCTTTTTTTTTATTGGCATGTGTCAAACACTCTTCCTTCCCTAAACCCATACATTTCCCCTATGAGGAGACTCATGACCATTACACTTTGCACATGTGGAACCTCTTATGTACCTTCAATCCAGTGGGATGGGTTTCAAGTTGTAGTTAATTGTCTCTTTGGTAAAACTGCTTTTTAAAGAGTTTTTGTTGTATGGTGCTTAGAAAAATGTGTCATGTTCCTTTTGTATTTTTATACAATCTAGTTTGCCAATCCAGACTTTATGGAGTCCATTTCGGATGTGGTCGATGAAGTGATCCAGAACTGTCCTATTGATGTTCGTCGCCCCCTGTATAAGGTATAAGCTGCTTGGGTCAGGTGCTTTGATTGTATTCCCATTAGTTCTTAGGGTCGGTTATTTCTGTCAGTATGCAGACATTCCCACTTCACCTGCCCTGTGGGGTTTGTTTTAGGCAGTGTAGATTTTACTTGGAGCAGAGATGACATTAAGTGCTTGGAGGTGGGACTCTGTTGACTGGGAGGATTGAATTTGAACACTGTGATGTCTTGTCTTCTTGCTTGGCCAGCCGTATCTGAAGTTGAGTAATCCTAGCCACATGTACTGACTGAAAGTTGAAAGCGACTCCTGAGCTTTCTGTGAGGTTCTTGTTTCAGGCACATTTGTGGTCAGTGCTGGCATGTGATAGACAATACATATTAGAGCCTAAAGTAAAATCACCAAATAGAATCTGCTCATCTTGTTTTTTAAATAGTTCTTTGATTGTCTGGAATTCTGAAACTTGCAATGAGAGGAATCTAGTGGATATAATTATTGGATGAGAGTAAATGTTACTGTCAGGCAGATGTGCAGAGCAGAGAATGCTGCAAGCTCTTGGTCTGTGGCTTCTGACTGTATGCAGACTTGGGGTAGAATTTTACAGAGCAGAGACGGGCTCAGTAAGGAAGACTGAGTAGATTTTGTATCATCTTCATAGTGAAATGCCATTTAACCTTTAAGAAGGATGAGTGTCTTAGTTACTTTCCTCATTTCTGAGACAAAATACCCAACAACCAAAGTTAAAGGAAAAAAGGTTTATTTTGGCTCATAGTTTGTAGAGGGTTTTTTTTTGGTACCGAGGATTGAACTCAGGACCTTGTATTTTCGAGGCAGGCATGGTGCCACTGAGCTACATCCCTGGCCCATGTAGAGGTTTTAGTTCATAGTTGGCTGGCTCCAAGGCAAGGTGGCATGGCAGAGGGACCTGGCAGAGGAGAAACAGTTCATGGTGGGCAGAGGGCAGGAATGCAGCAAAGCGGTGAAGTAGCAAGCAGCAAGCAACAAGCAGCAACCACAGCAGCCCCGTCTGTCCACTATATTCTATCCAAGCTGCCTGCCCTTACTGTGAGTGGTACTCACACCCAGGGTGGGGCTTCTCATGATCTACTCCCAAAATTATGCCAAACCTGTCAGTGCACTGATTTAGTAATCACACACCCCCAGTCTCACACTCTAGATCCAGCCACCTCTGAAAAGCCCTACCTATGACTGCATGAGGCTTTGGGGGACATTTAGACACAAACCGTAACACTGAGGTAAATCAGTGTACAGTCAAATGAAAAGATAGATGTAACTGTAAGATTTAAGTGAAAAGCAACTTATAAAATTTACCTATAACACTGTGTTTTATGTAAAATGGGGTTTGTATATTTTTTGTATGATCCGTAAAATGTCTTTTGGGGGAGGGTTGGTGGATAACTTTAACTTTTTCCTTTTTGTGGTTTGAAATTGTTTGATGTTTTATAGTTAACATTTTTATAATTGAAAATTTTTCTTCCTGTATAGACGAATCTTTATGGGTGGAGACATAATTCTCTATGTTTCATATCCTTAATCAAACACTTTCCTCCTGCAGTAAAAGGTACCAAGAAAGGGCCTAGATATGAAAGTTCAGTATAATAGTATCTTTTGGTCCCATTTCCTCAATCTCACTTAATTTTGGCTGTGTCGCCTTGGCAGTGAAAGCAAGAACCATATGTACACTCTTTGACGGATTTTATCCTAAAAGGAATGCAGCTCTTCAGTGGGGGAGAGCCTTCTCATTTGACTGTGCAGTTCACTTGTCCCAGCGGGTTGTACAGAATTTGAGGTAGAGGTGCTTTGGATAGCAGCACAAGCCCTTGTTTAATGGGTGATGGTGCTAACCCTGAACTCAAGAAAGCGTGAGATAAGGCATGTGTGAAAAATAGGAGAAAATTATGTGGCCGCTGTGGGAACACCCAGTCACATACAGTCAGAAGTAGGTAGGGTGGTGGCTTGTCAGATGAGGCCACAGCTGTGGGTCATGTTTCATGTCAAGCCCCGGAAAGCTCATTGGAGAGAAGAGGCATTAAGAATGGGGAGGGATTTTGGCTTGTGAAGAAAAGGTGAGTTTTGGGGCTAGGAATGAGGACGTCCTTTGCGTAGTATATTTTTGTAAGGTGATTTTGAGCCGAGTGTCTTCTCCCTCACCACTCTCTGGAGATCTTCTCTTGACTTTCCACTTGCTGTGTGGACATATCAGTTGCCTGTCCTGTAGCCTCCTCAACAGCTGTATGTAGAGAATCATTGGTTCCTGTTCTGTCCTTCCCTCTGATACGCCTCTCCCGGTCACCCTAGCTAGGAGTGCTAGGGTGCATCAGCGAGTGCGGAGATCCTGATCCTTGTGGTAGCAGTGGAGTGCTAGTTAGTCAAAAATGTCTCTTGAGAGCACTTCCTATGTGAGTGTGCAGGAAAGAGAAGAGAAGAAGGAATGTTGGCCATGGACTGTCCTTAAGTTTAATTATCCTGGTTGTTAGGAGTTGTGCAAGCCAGCAGCTCCTTCTGGATCACTTGGCTGACCGGGGTGAGAACAGGATCCACTGTAGGCAGGGTTGGGCATGATGGGAGGAGAGCTGGGCATGGGGGTGCATGCCTGCAGTCCTGGCTACCTGGGGGCTTAGGGTGGAGGATCACAAGTTCAAGGCCAGCCTGGGCAATCTGTTTAGACCTTGACTCAGAATAAAATAAAAAAGGACCAAAGGTGTAGCTCAGTGTTAGAGGGCTCGCTTGATAGGAGCCAGGCTGGGTGCCATCCCCAGTACCGGGCGCTGGGGGCCTGGGCAAGATGAGAGGAGACCATAGTGGAAGGTTGGTCAGAAGGGCTTCTGTTGGGTAGGATCTGGAAAGGTAGCTTAGTAAATACATGGGTATTTAATCCAGTTCCTTGCATTTCCTGTCTCACTTTCCATCAGCTATGCCCTCAGAGAGTAATAGAGCATGATTCAACTTGTAAGTATAATTTAAGTAGTAGTTAATTCACATTGGCTTTTATTTGTGGCTTATTCCCCAGGTCCTGTACTGTTATCATTCAGAAACAACCTTGAACTTCTCCCATGTAGACAGATTTTACTTGACATTGTTATTAATCATAGACTTTAACAAAATCACTTAATACATAGCTACAGTTTACTGTTTCTGTGTGACAAGAGCTGGATCAAGCCCCTTACTTACAGTGCCCCTTGTGGGGACCTGCTGTTCTGTTCCCATTTCACAGGTGAAATTGTGACAGGCCCTCGAGAGCCAGTCCCTGGCCTGAGACTTGGTCCTAGTAGCGCTGGAGTGCGCAGTGAGGCTTCGGTGTGCAGGACTCTGGCAGGTGCTTGTAGTACACAGCGTCTCTTAGTGCCCCCGCATGTTTGTGGCAGTTGATACGATACTCTTCTCCTCTGCTGGGTAGGAAATAGTTTGGACTGAGGTAGGCAGTGCTGGGTGGGATCAGGGCAGGGCTCGGCCTGTTTCCTACATCTTTGAAAACTCATGCCTGGTCCACTCTGTCACACTGTAAGTGGTGTGAAACGTGGAGGGACAGCCTGTCCGTGTCCACTTCACCATTCCGCTGGCCATTCTCTCTCTGTGGTCTGGGAGGGTTAGCTTAGCCTGGCTGTCAGGTTTGTGCTGAGTAAGCCTTGTGCAGCCACCTTGTGCACCGTCAACCGCGTGCCCGAGGGCACTGCAGCCTTTCTGGGCCATTTAGAATTTAAGTAGGGTTACTAGGTGAATGGCTAAAGAAAAGGTCGTATTTACACAAAATGGACCACTGCTCTGCAATAAGAAAGAATAAACTCGAGTCTTTCATAGGAAAATGGATGCACTTTGAGATCACGATGTTAAGTGAAATAAATCAAGACACACAAGGTTCAATATCACATGGTTTTCTCTTATATGAGAAACCCAGAGTATAAATTGTGATAGCCAACCTGGCTCCATTTGTGTAAAGTTGAGTGATGCTGGGTGGCCTCCCCCCTCCCCTGCCCCCTTGGGAGTCCCCTCAGTTAATGCATAACAGACCAACCACTGCATCCTGTGTGAGTCTGCAACTATGTGATACTTTGTTTTAATTAACCTGTGTGAAACTGCCCCTGACTCCCACTGACATAGCAATGTTTTGCTCCCCAACTCTCTGAGCCCTCCCCAGTTTGAAGAGCCTTTAAAAGGACCCCACAAACTGCCTTTCCTTTGTTCAGAGTTTTTGGAGGCCTGAGCCCCCTTTGGACCACTGGCTGTGATAATAAAGGATTCCAGTAATTCACAGTATGGCACATCTCTATAGTTCCAACTCACCTGGCCCTATAACAAATAAAGAACAAAATAAAAGATAGAAAATAGAAAGTAGGGAGATAAATCTTTTGCAAATGGGAAGGGGACCAAGAGATGGAGGCAGGGGAGATGCAGGGGGAAAGAGGGATGGAAAAAGAATTAAGACATGTACATGTGGCAACTTGCCAGATCATTATATACTACAAACATACACTGATGAAAAATAAAAATTGAAAACGAAAGAATTTAAGTAGGATTGAGAGGTGGGAGGACAATATGACGGTCTTGACCTTGGTTTTTTTCTTTTGTCATGCAGCTCTGTACTCTACAGGGGAAGGAGGAGTCACAGATGAGGCTGCCTCCTTACCCTTCCTCAGGCAGCCTCAGGCAGGCTCAGGTGGCCTGGGGGTGGGGAGCTGTCCTGAACCTTCAGGGTTTGGCAGCAGAGCTGTGTTTCTTTGATTGCTGTGGTACCCATGGGGCCGGCAGTGGGGTTGCTCCTTACTGTGGCTGCTCCTATTGGAACACATCTCCTCTTTGGTCCCTTCTCTGGCGTCTGGCCTGGGCCATTGAAGTCACACGGCCCAACCTCATTGCCAGGTGCCAGGAAAGAGGGAAGGTGACATCATGTTTGGTGGGCACCATGGTCTCCACAGCCACTAAGGAAAGGACTGCTTTCCAAAGCAAGGGGCTTGATGAGTGAATTGGAGTTTGATATTGAGGCCTGGAAATGCCCACTTTCT